CCTCGCTCCGCTCCTTGTCCTCGTCCTGAGCCTCCTCCCGGCCTCGAAAAAGTTTTTTTCTTTCCCTTTCCTCGTTTCGGAGTTTTTTTGGTTTTCTTGCTTTTTGTAATTTTTTTTTTTTAGCGTTTTTGCGCCGATTAGAAGTAATAAAAAGTTTTTTTGCGAGCCTCCTCTCCGCAGCCGGTGGAGACTTTGTTTCTCCGACTTTTTACTTTTTTTAACCCATCCCTGCCCCTTAGCGCTTAACTTTTTAATTTTTTTTTATCATCAATTTTTTTTTTCGCCCCCTTGTTCCCCCTCGGCCGCTTTCTCGCATGAATCTCCTCGACCCTTTCATGAAAATGACAGAAGAACAGGACAAATGTATCTCCGACGCCCCCAGCCCCACCATGTCGGATGACTCCGCCGGCTCCCCCTGCCCCTCTGGATCCGGCTCGGACACGGAGAACACCAGACCCCAAGAGAACACCTTCCCCAAGGGCGACCCGGACCTGAAGAAGGAGAACGACGAGGACAAGTTCCCGGTGTGCATCCGGGAGGCGGTGAGCCAGGTGCTCAAGGGCTACGACTGGACCCTGGTGCCGATGCCGGTGCGGGTGAACGGCTCGAGCAAGAACAAACCGCACGTCAAGAGACCCATGAACGCCTTCATGGTGTGGGCGCAGGCGGCCCGCAGGAAGCTGGCGGATCAATACCCGCATCTGCACAACGCCGAGCTCAGCAAGACCCTGGGCAAGCTCTGGAGGTGAGCGCGGGGCCGGGGATGCCCGCGGGGAGCGGGGGATGCGGAGCTGGAAAGGCGCCGGGAAACTCGTGCGGAGCGCAAAAGTTGTTAGGTGGAGGAGAAGGCAGAATAGGAGGGGAAAAGCAGGGAAAGTAGGGAAAGTTGATCTCTTTGTGGTGTTGGAAGTGGTTTTTGTGCCTGGAGCGGGGGGGACCGTGCGGAGCCCCCCGGCCGTGGTTTGTTTGCGCCGCGGGTGCGGAGGAAATGATGGATTTGGGATTTTGGGGATTATTGCATCAGCTCGGGCCGGAGGGAGCGCGGGGCGATGCGGGGNCTTCTGAAGCACAACTCACCTGAAGCACAACCATATATTAAATTTGGACAGAAAAACCTCCCCAAATCCACACCTCAATCCCAAAATTCCCGTCTCCCACAGTAACTCTTGGAAAAGTTATTCCCTAAAAAACAGGGATTTGATTGAGCACAAGGAGCAGGAAAAACCCATCAAACTTTAAGGTTTAATCCTCACTAAAAACCCTGCCTGGTCCCTGAGCTGCCCACTTTGGCTAAAACAACGTTAATTCCAGAAAAAAAGGGAAGGAAAACTTCCATCAAAGCAGCAGCAGCAGCAGCTCCCACCCGGCTGTGATTAATCAGCTTGTCCACCTTGTCCAAATAGCCCATCGAGCAATAATTAAAAATAATAAGCCAGAAATTATCAAATCACACACAATAAGTGCAGAGCTCCTTCCCCTTTCGCTTTTGTTTATTGTTCAAACTTGTCAAGGCCCTCGCCGGGCTCCCAGCAGCTCGCAGGGAAGGCAGAGCCCCTTCCACAGATGAAGGATGAAAAATGTCCCAATTCTGACCCTTTTCGTTTAATTCTGACCCTTCCCATTCAGTCCCGACCCTCCCGAACTGTCCCCGTGCTGTTTCTGCCAATCAGCAGCAGCAGGGACAGGGGACAATCTGTTGTCACCAAGTTTTGCTCCTCTCCAGGTAAATTTTATTCAGATTTTTGGCCCCAGCTGAGATCACAACAATCTCCTGCCTGCGTTTGCTTTCGTGTTCTGCAATAAATATATTTATTAAGTGAGATTTGGGGAGTTAAAGTTCAGCATGCACCACCCCAGAGCTGGGATTACCCAGGGAAAATAATCCAAATTATCACCTGCAATATTTGCTGAGATTTTACCTTTATCACCGCAAATAACAACGCAAAATCCAGCGGCCCTCTCCTGGAAAATTGGATATTTAGCAAAGGAAAGAAATTGATATTTGGCAAAGGGAAGAAATACAACTCTGGGAAAAGCTTTCTTGGTGTTTGAGGAATAAAAAACCCCAAATTCCCCTGGAGAAAAGCAGAAAAGCCCCGCTCTGCTCCTGCAGACAAAGCTCTGGGACAGAGCACAGCCACTTACCTGCAACTCACCCACAGCAAAACTACTTCACAAAAAGGTTTGCAAGCAAAAAGAAATTTCAAAAAAAATTAAAAACCAACCCAAAATCATCACCAGAACCTCAGGAAAAACCAAAAACAACCAAGGAGAGGCTTTGGAGTGCGTTTATTCCCAGCTCCTTCCCCGCTGCCTTATCCTTATGTTTTTAATTTTATATTTTATTTCTTTCTTTAATTTTGTTTTTATTTTCCAATACCTTGAACCCCCCTGGTCAGGATAACGACGCCAATCGCGACAGGGCTGTCCCGAGCCTTGTCCGGCCGCACAAAGGAAAGCAGCGCAGGGAAAGCGGCCGCCAGAAAGCCCCGACTCGAACGCTCGAGTTGCGATGAGAAATTCTGGCTCGGGCTTTGGGAAAGGAGCAGAACTCGGCGATTTCTGCCCCAAAAAGGCGCCGAGGAGAAGGAGGGAGGTGGGAAAGGCGCAGATTTTTGGGCAGCTCCTTCTGCTGGAAGCTGAAAAGCCGGGGTGTGTTTTGTGCCCACCTGGACGGGGGTGCAGGGAGAGCCCCAAATTCACCCGGAGCCGCACGGGAGCTCCAGGCGGGCGGTTCCTGCAGCCCCGGAACGTTCCCGTACCGGGAAATACCCGCAGGTCCCTCTGATAACCCCGGCCCGGCCTTCCAGACCTGGACAACTCGGCAAAAGTTTTATTTCTGGGCAGAGGGGGAGGGAAGAGGCTGCGCTCCTTCCCCGGGCACCGCTCCAGGGATGCGGGACCCGGATCTGGGATTGGGAACCGGGATCCGGGATGGGGAACCGGGAACAGGGATTGGGATGGGAAACTGGGATGGGGAATCGAGATCCGGGACCAGGATGCGGGATTGGGATGGGGAGCCGGGAGAAGGAGCCGCGATCCGGGATTGGGATGGGGAACCTGGATACAGGATCGGGATGGGGAACCGGGATTCGGGACTGGGACAAGGAACCGGGTTGCGGGATTGGGATGGGGAACAGGGAGAAGGAACCGCGATCCGGGATTGGGATGGGGAACAGGGAGCCGGGATTGGGATGGGGAACAGGGATGAGGAACCGGGATGCGGGACCACGATCAGGAACTGGGATGCGGGACTGGGATAGGGAACTGGGATGGAGAACCGGGATGAAGAACCGGGATTAGGAAGCGGAATTGGAAACTGGGATGGAGAACCGGGATTAGGATCCGGAAATGGAAACCGGGATGGGGAATCGGGACGAGGGTCCCGCAGCCCGGTCCGGCCGTGCAGGGAAAGCCGCACCGGGGCCACCGGGAT